CAGAATTAAAATGCACATTTGAACATTTGTGCAAAAAAATAAAATCCAATCCAGCAGTAAACAGGGAGCAGTAGGCCTAATTTCAGGAATTAACCTACTTCTCATTTCCCCCTTAATTCTTCCTACCTAAAAGTAAACCAAAGAGGTTTCAGATACTTTCGTTTTAACTGGAGCACTGTGCATCTGGGTCCCAACAAACTGTTATACTGCGATATTCACAAGTCTGACCAAGGTGTCTACAAACTCAAAATGGTGGTTGAACAGGTACAATCTACCTGCTGAAAGATCTTTTGAACACAATTGTTTTATGCAAATATGTATGTTCCACTCCAGACTAGACAATTTAGTTTTGGTTTGTTTCCGATTTTTCGTTCATTTTGTTAAACGGTATTTCAGAATTAAAATTTGTTGCTGAAAAGAGACATTAAAGGAGAACTATGGGGTTAAAGGAGAACTATGGGGTCAGGGCTTTTCCCCATAGTTCTCCTTAGGGTAACGGGAGGACACAAACTAGCGTCCTCCCGTCACACTAAGCTCAGTATATAGGGAGCTGCAGCTCACTATATACTGAGACGCCGCAGCTGAAGCGGATCCCGACAATTATGTCTGGATCCGCCCAGCTGCGTGAGTGCCAGCTGGCTCTGCCTATCTAGAGGCACAGCCAGCTGTACCCGCCCCCTCCCCTGTCACGGCAGAGAGCCGTCACAGGATCGAGAGGTGAGCGAACGCCGGTATGTGTTCGCTCCCCTCCCGATCTACTAAGCCGACCTGTGACAGTCTCATTGTCACAGGTCGGCTAGAACTATGAGGTGAGTGAAAAGCACTCACCTCATAGTTCTCCGTTAAAAAAAGTGACATGTTTTTTCTTTTTAACTTTTGGCTGTCCATAAAAACAATAAAAAATGTATCCCAAAAAAATCCCCCCCCCCTACAATCCCTTACCGGACCCTTGCTCCGAGCAACAGCTAGTAGAGCTTGAAAGGGGGGGGGAGCCAGTAGCCGCACCTGGCCCGGTAATTGTGGGGGTACTGCGGGCAAGTGGGCTTATAGAAATCTGGGTGTCCCCTTTCCTGTTGGCTGGAGTCTGGAATTTTATCTTTCGACATGTTGGCAGCTGTCGTCCATCATGATTGACGTGGAACTACATCGTTGGACGACGTGATTGACCTTGGGATTACATCGATGGACATTTTTTCTTTTTTTTTTAATACAAGACTTGTCAAAAACCTGTTTTTTCTTTCAAATATAGGATTTTTTACGGTATTGGTGAATTAGTAGGGGTAACAACTGGGAATGCACCGATACCATTTTTTTCAAGACCAAGTACAAGTACGAATAATTTTCCTCTAGTACTCACCGATACCAATTACCAATACCTTTTTTAATGTCATGTGACAGCTTTTCTAAAACAATACAGACTAATGATTTTAGGACAGTGGTGGACCACCAGGGCCCAGTCACAGCTGCAACTTCTGTGACCTTGGTAGTTCTGCCACTGACTCCAAGCTGTAGAGGGACTACAAATACCAGCAATCCATTATACAGCAATGCAGAATACCATCTGCAATAGGGGACTACAATCCCCAGCAATCAATCATACAGCAATTATACCTGTGTAACCCCCTGAATACATCGTAACGACGAAATGCATAGGGACGGGCTTATCCTACGTCATACCGAATACGGAAGTTCGTTGTTGTACCATCTAACCGGCCGACAGAGACTTTGTAATTCTTTTAAAGGAGAACTATGGGGTCAGTGTTTTTCCCCATAGTTCTCCTTTAACATTGGATTTGAATAAACACCTTTTGGAAATACGACACAATGAGGAGTTTTTTCTTTCTATGAGTATGGAGACACGTCACTTTCTGGATATCGAAGGGAAAAGGATACAGTGAGGACGCTGCAGCTCCGTGAGTTATCATACAAGTGCTTTCTGGCTGCTTGTTACAGCCATCACATTGTGGTGAGTGTGCACTTTGAGGAGGGACGTATGACACTTGCTTAATCCCCAGCAACTTTCCACGAACCTCCGGGCTTCTGGAGGTCTCACATCAGTGCACAGATTGGAGAAATTTTGCACAGAGATTTTTATATTACCATATGGACTATTCACAGTGTTTTATTATTAGTACCTAAAGGGATGTTGTGGTACTCACAATTCATGGACAGTGTACAATCCAACCCTTTATATACCAAAGTTTATATATAAGGATATGGATGTATAAGATATTTGCTTATTTTGCACATATTTAATAATTTAGTTTGTTATCAACATTTATTCACTTTCACAATAAGTGTTACACAATATTATTTTTTGGGATTTATATGATACAGGTGAAACTCGAATAATTAGAATATCGTGCAAAAGTAATTGCAGTAGTTGCTGCAAAAGGGGCCCAAACCAAGTACTGAGTACATATGCATGCTTGTACTTTTCAGAGGTCTGATATTGTTCTATGTACAATCCTTGTTTTATTGATTGCATGCAATATTCTACTTTTTTGAGATTGTGGATTTGGGGTTCTTGGGGTTTTCATGAGCTGTAAGCCATAATCATCACAATGATGACAAATCATGGCTTGAACTATCTTGCTTTGCATGTAATGAGTCTATCTCATATATTAGTTTCACCTTTTAAGTTGCATTAGTGAAATAAATGAACTTTGCACGATATTCTAATTATTCGAGTTTCACCTGTATATAAGGAATGAAAGACAGTTACCAATCCCAGTAGCAACCCCTTTGGGATAAACTGTTTGACACGAGGCTACACATATTGATTGATCATTAATCATCTGTTTATTTGTTCGCAATCATATCACGGATGGTAGATTATAAAACGGATTAATAGATGTATACACTTATTCTTTAATTAAATTGAATGATTAGCGCTGCATATCTGGTAAAATAATTATACAGCAATGCAGAATACCAGAATATTATAAAGCTACATACTCTGTGTTGCTAACCAGGGCTGTATGGCATCTCAGGAAGCTGTCCGGGGTTCGACCAGGACTGTTACAGAGTCTCAGGAGGCTCTGTGAGGTCTGGCCAGGGATGTGCACAGTTTGCCCAGGGCTGTGTGCAGTCTACCAGTATCGGTGCATCCCTAGTAACAACTAACACATACTCATTCACGTGGGGTGGGATCTGGGCACCCAGATTCCTATAAGGCCCCCTGCCCACAGACAACCACCAGACCAGGGTTGTGGGGAAGAGGCACTTGTCTTCATCGACAAGGTGCTGTGCCAGGCAAAACAACCTCACCATGGTATAGTGCAGGAGGGATGGGGGGCGCACGCTCGTCCTCCCTTTCCTGCACTGCCAGGCTTCTGCTTGGATCAGGGGTCTGGTAAGGGGTTTTAGGGGGAACCGCGCACTTTTTTTTAGGTTTTTTGGTGTTGGGGTCCCCCCTGAAATTCCTACCAGACCTAAGGGGTCTGGTATGAATTTACATTCAAGTTAGTTGCTATGGTTTACATCTACTTTAATTCCATCTCTGTAGATAGATTTGGAT